AGCTCTTAATGTTAACTGATTTTGTATAAACTGTGAAGCAGAGTGCATAAATATCTAAGTCCTGATCTGGGAACAGAGCCCAGTTAAACCTTTTTCTTTGGACTGATCAGATACTCACAACTCTGGCCAAAAGCAAAGTTTTGTACAGTGAGGCATACATTAAGAATGAAAAATATAGGATGAGGGGATGAGACAAATCACCAGACAAATATACCAAAGTTGATGGAATGTCAGAATCAAAGTGAAATAAGACAAATTATAAGACTGAACTAGTCCTCAGAGAGGGATAATGAAAACATTTGTGAACAATTCTGGCAGCATAATGTCAGTCATAAAATGTGTGTCAGAATAATTTCCAAAGATATAACGTAAACATGGTAAATACTAGCAGCAATATCACTCTGCTAGAGAGAAATTCTACACTAATAAGCCAGAGGTCCTGTGTTCAAATCCTAATGAATGCATTGAAACAAATAATGTCATCTGTTTCACTGGCGCCCATGTAGGGACTAGGTAATGATAATCATCCATGTCCCACAAGCATCGCTGTAACCCCTGGAAACTCAAAACGAGTTCTTTCCTATAGGAGGGATATGTCACCCTGGTAAATACTAGCCGCAATATACTGCGGGGCTAGTGAGAGCATAATAAGATACAGTAAGATCTACTCTGCTACTGAACTACTTGGAACAGAGACTCTCTACATATACATTACTAACTCCATCGACATTTAGCGGTCAATGGCCCCAGGGTGTATCATGTATTATTTACATCAGTTGGCATCACTATCCAAAAGTGGGTACAGAACTTGCCAAAACACGAAATGTATATCTAGCAAAAAACTTACTATTTTTCCCCAAGTAAAAGTTTCAATACACACCCAGAAAGTTTCACATCGACGATTTTCGTGACTAATTAACTTTTAGTCTTGTTTGGTCACATGTTTTGATATTAATATGAGTCATATCATCATTTACAACTGTTGGTTTTAAATGGATCGTATGCACACACTTACAAACAAGGTTTTGTTGTATACCGCTATGTCCTGTTGGTTTTCTTCATTGTCATGTTCTCAGTAAAAAGGAGTTCTGTTTGTCATGGGTACTCATCGGCTATCTGCCTACCACGATAGCACCTAACTTTATCAGACTGGGGTATCCAGTCACATGATCCTCATACTAAATTTAGACCCACTGCGATCGTAACAGCAGCTTTATCGCCATCTAGTGAGAAATGCCTTCGTTTTGTAAGAGTTACCTACCTTTAACCGTAACGATCTTCGTAATTTCTGTTTAAAATTCCCAAATTCCCGAAATAATACGACTGAAAACTAGTAAATTGATACATCACCGAGAATATCTGAAGGCTACACGTTGTGGCTTATCATTCGAATGACAATTCTAAAAAGTAGTAAGATTGATAGAAAAAAGAAACAATTTAGAAAAAAAAAACTTAACACAACTGGGCCAAAGCAATATATTGTATATATTTTTACTTTACCTTTTGATAACACATTTGAAAATAATGTTATTAGGGTATTTATACATCACATGACATGTAATGTACAATAGGATCGTATCAAAGCTTATGTTCTACCGAAGTCCAACAAATAAATTCATCGGATATTTTCTGAAATAATTTGGAGCGAATCAAAAGAAGAAAGTACTTTCTTAATAAGATACTCTTTTCCGATAGTGAAAACCTTTTGAAAATTAGCTCACTTGAACATAATGCATTAAATTAAGCGTGGTATAAAAAATGAAAACCATATCCCGTTCGTGTAGTTATTTATAAGTTCTGTTTTATAATAAGTTAAAAAATAAAGAATGTTAGTCCTGCTAACGAACAACAGGTACTGACTGCCACAGTCAAATATCAAAATAGTGACACGTAATAAATTGTACGACTGTTCAGTTCATGGTTTATTGGTTCAAACAAATATAAATGTGGAGATACTTGATACCATTACTGAAAGTTTCTGAGATAAGAAATGATGGGGTTGAGAAAATGCACGGGATGGATGAGTGAGGATCTCAGAAAGATCTCAGATTCACAGCTTTATACTTCAGTATATCAATTAAAGAGCTGTTTGGGAGAAACTTACCTGGCCGTATCACTCGGCAATGAAGCGAAGTCAAGTGAGAGCGTGCATTGCAGAAGGGATGTGTCTGTCTTGTTTTAATGAAGTTAGAACCATGCACGTACGTATACTCATTAACATAAGCAGGTACATGATTATACCTCCCTCTTGCAGACTCACATCTCCCTGGTAAGTGTATATGTACTTTGGATGGTGTATATAATTTTCTACACTAAGAGACTGTCATTTTTTGAATTTCATTTGGAAAGTTTTAATCAATATCAGCATGGACTTCTATATCTGTGATAATATAGGTCATGAACAATGTTTAACAGTCCACTGCGTACTATTTGTTCCACTAATTTTAAGTACTGAAAGTACTTTTGAATACAGAATATTCTCTTTGCACATGTAGTATATTTCTTTCGTCGGTTAAAAAATGGGGGGTTGTGGGGGTGGCTAAATACTAAAGCCAAGTTATAAGTATTAGATGTATCAGAGACGTATATATGTCTCTGGATATATAGATAAGTATGTGTTCTTCAAGTAGGAGTCGTTTTAGGGAATGTCGCATGAATCCATTTAGCAATATTTCTGGTAGTAGTTTTGTTATCTCTTTTTTGTCATTATAATTTCTATCAAATTTACAACTGCCTGTTCAAATATCTCTTAAACTTTTATCTGACATATCATCTAACTTGTAAGAGTACGTGATGTTTTGCTCTTTTTTTAAAATGTATTCTCAATATCAGAGACGTATATATCACATATCATATATACGTCTCTGTCAATATTGCCGAATCTATTGATAATAAAGAAAAGAACCAAACACACATACACACGATACATTACTCTCTCTCTCTCTCTCTGTCTCTCTCTCTCTCTCTCTCGCTCTCCCACCCTCTCTCTCTGTCTCTCTCTCTCTCTGAAATAGTAATGAAAATATTCGTATCATCTCTTTAGTACCTAAATACATACAGCACGTAGATGGCCAATGTAACGTGGACATAAATAACTAGAGCAAGTCTAATGCTATAAGGCTAAAATTCCATGACGTCACTTGTCCACGAGGTAAAGAAATGGGAATGGGCCCCGAATCAGCATATTGTAATGCTAAAACTGTATTATTTCTTATCTTTTAATCTTATATGAGTATTCTGATCTTTATTTCAACTTCATTTATTAAGAAATAATTATATCTGATTTCTTATTTATTTGTGATCGATACTTTAGACGCCAGATGTGATTACAATCGTGGTCACTGAAAGAAATATGCATCTGGAAATTGCAAAAATATTTCGTGACGTCACACTACGGACACCTCGAAGAAAAGTATCTGATAAAGAAGGAAGCTCCGGATACAAAGGACATTATTCATAACACTTGACTTTTTTGTGAGACTGTTAGCAATTTTTGATATTGGAAATATCTTTTGGAACATTTTATTGGTGTTTAAACCACAATTTGTTTGGCGCTGAGCCGCTGAACGGCATTCGGGCATTGTACTTTTGTCTTCCCAAACGGACGAAACATCCCTTTTTGCAAGACTATGAAGGAGATGCCAATGGCACACATTCACGATACAACAGGTAAGTAATGTCGTGGACAAGAATGTATGACTTATACTACACCATTTCTGTCACAATTTATTGTAAACGCCATTCATAAACATCGTATACTTTGGAAGAGAACATGATGTCGTTTGTGGTTTAGTATCCGGGAACCGTGCGGGGAGGGGGGGGGTCATATATTCCGCTAATAAGACTGTTGATCCTGGGTTACCCCGGTTCTCACCGAATTAGCTGTTATGTTTTGTTTGTGTCCATCATGTAGGAATTTGAATTTTACACCGTACATTTTTAATACTAGGATATCCAGATATGGCTCATTCGGTTTGTGATTTTATTAGAATAATACGAGGAGTTGTCTGCGCCTGCTTTAATCAATAATTAATATATTGTTGATTACAAACAGCTTTGGCTGATCTTTTAATTATATTGGAAAGAAACACTGGCTTATAAATTAATCAATGGTGTACCATTTATCCCACAGGTTTAGCCGAGCTGGCACACAGAGAATACCAGGCCGGAGATTATGAAAACTCAGAACAACATTGCATGCAGTTATGGAGACAGGAACCAGACAACACTGGAGTATTACTACTACTCAGTTCAATACACTTTCAGTGTCGCAAACTGGAAAGGTAATAAACAACAGAAACATCATGTTAATCTGTCAGTGTAGTATCCTACCAACTCTGCTGGGGAGAATTTCTCTTTAGCTCACTCAGAACAGCCACTACATAATGGTGTTCTCTCACATATCATAATTATTAAATTATAATATTTATATTGCATAATGTTATTCTCACCATTTTTTTCTATTATACATTGTCATGACCATGCTAAGTAGTTATTGGTTGAAGATTTAAAATTTTTTAATTTCACAGGTCAGCTTATTTCAGCCAACTTGCTATTAAGCAGAATTCTATGCTGGCAGAGGCTTACTCAAATTTGGGAAATGTATACAAGGAAAGACGACAACTCCAGGAAGCTTTGGAAAACTACAGACATGCTGTCCGATTAAAGCCAGATTTCATTGATGGCTACATTAACTTGGCTGCTGCATTAGTAGCAGCTGGAGACATGGAGCAGGCTGTGCAGGCATATGTAACTGCTCTGCAGTATAATCCAGTAAGTTTTATAATTTCTGTCACTCATGTGAAAAAAATCCAGCCTATAATTCAATTTTTGTTGTAGAATCACAATTATATTAACTGCAAGATTTGTTGAAATAAGATTACATCATTATGAAATTGCTGACATTTGTTTCAGGACTTGTATTGTGTGAGGAGTGACCTTGGGAATCTGCTGAAGGCATTAGGAAGACTTGATGAAGCCAAGGTATGTTTTGATCTCTAATGGCAAGTAAAGATCACAGGGACTAGGATCAGGGCAAACAGCATCTGTACCACTGTCTATGTCTTGCATCAGTGTGATTCAAGAGAACTTTTGACAACATAACATGAAGAGGGACCATGTTCCTATCAGTTTATCTTGTATTTTACATTGGAAAATATTATTCACAGGATCTGAAGCTTGTTGGTACAAAAACATGTAAATAAGGGAAATCCCCATCAAAATTCTATCAATATGTATTTAAAATCTTGCAAAACTTTGATAGTTCTGGAGAGAACAGAAAAATGTATTGAAAACTTTCTGATTTATTAGTCGCATTTGGATGTGTTGTTGACCTTCAAGCTGCAGACAGACATTTACTTGATCAAGTAGATGTAAATTGCCCAAAGGCTATCATGATGTATGATGGAAAAGTTTTGAAGTGGTATGTTCAGACAACTGTGGATATCTGTACAATTTAGAAACATTCAGAATTAAACATTTTTATGGTATATCTTGCAGAAATGACATAATTTATGTTATGTTCTGCGAGATTTCTAGCTTTCTAATAATTGTATGACAGTTTGCAGATATTGAGAAAAGAAATCCACATGTAATGACTGAATATATTGCTATCAATTTTTAGACAATAGCCTATGTTGCAGTGGAAAGAGGAGTTGGCCATGGACTTCTGTGAGGGTCAGTACAAAGACAAAGTCTGCTTAGAAAATATATGCTTGTTCTTGCGTATACATCAGCAGCTGATCTGAACAAATGAGATATTAAAAATCAGTAGATTATTATTATTTTTACAAGACATTGACTGCAACTCTGCAGCTCAATAGTTTTGTGACAGTGAAAGGTTTTTTCTTTATTTTCATTTATTTGTTAGAACATTGGCCTATTTCTGTGGATTCTTGCGCTGACTATTTTGTTGTGTTTTGTGTAGGCATGCTGGATGGATGTAGTGCGACTGAGTTGCCCTTATTTCTACCTTGACTTTGTCCTTGTACACCCATCACAGAGATGTTGATTTCACGTTACACTGATAGGAACATGTATTCCTCTTCATGGCAGCGACACAAATATAAACATCTGATACTTTCTTCCATGTAATTTTCCTCAGAAGTTGTTCGATTTTTATACTGTTGATGTGATAACGCCTGAATTGACTTTCCACGTACAGTACATTCTGCTTTATATTGCCTCTCATTTGAGAAATATTATGCATACAAGATATTTTAGCATGTATTTTTCTGACTTTTTTCAAGCTCATTAAAACCCAAGTTACAAAGCAGAATCTATTCTGACATATTTCACAATCTATGTTTCTCTGTTGCATTACAAATGATAGATGTTCAAACAAATAATTTTGAGCTGACAGTAGCTTTAAATAATCCAACCCATTGCACAAGTCTCTTCAGATTGTCAGATCTGTGTACTAGGCTGTTTACATATGTCATCAATAGTCGAGCTTTCAACAAAACGCTCCAGTCACCAGGATGTTATGTATCTCTAAAATGCTATTTTAAAAATACTCCTATAACTCCACCCCAGTACATTCCAAATGATGTGATATAAAGCAGATGTGAACAAAATTCAATTATATAGTGGAAAAAACTACGTCAAAAAAGTAATGGAAGTGACATTTGGAACCTATGTTTGAATGTACTGTATGAGCTACTAATGTTTATTTCACATCTTACATTAATCCAATTTCAATTTTTTCTTTACAATTTCCGTACTAGATATTTGTGATGCCAGTATCGATCAAAACGTACCAAACAGGTTTTTGTGTGCCCATAATGACGGCTGGCTGACAGGAGACGCCAGAGACGGGTATGCTTTACAATGGTAAATACTGGTACTACCCATTCAGGGTGAAAGCTTAAGAGGTATTGTATACTATCCTCACAATGAATTCATATCGGGTGCAGTTCCAGTGAGTAAATGTAACTTTTGAAAAAAAAAAGAAACAAAAAATTGAAAAACAGAATTTCATTTCAAGATCTTAAGGAAACTTTAATTCTTTACAAAAACAATCCAAATTATTTGAGGTTAATTGCATTCTCATTTTTTCGGCACACTCATGATTTTGATTTTTTAAAAAAAGCTTATAAGGAAAGTGTTGGCAAATAAGGCACCAAATCAAAGAGAAATTATCTGATATTTATTTAAATTTCAGATTTTATTCTCCAGTTTTTCTGTTATTTCCCCCCCCCCCCAATTTTTATTGCGCGCTTTCCCAAATGCGCTGCGTAAGGCGCCAGCGGTCGCTTGCAAAGACTTACTTGTATAGATCAACCACACTGTTTTCAAATGTATAAATCTCTTTGCTTTCTAGTTTTCAGATATTCTTCATAAGTTTCAAGGGATATGAATGCAGATGAGCAGAACTGTATTTAGTTTGCAACAGTAGATTTATGTGCTGATTTATTCCAATTCATATAGAAAAGATAAAAAACAAAATGTTTTATTTTGTGAAAATACATGCTAGAAATATGCAAGTATGTCTTCTTGCAGCTCAGTTTACTGAACAGAATGAAACTTTCAAGACCAGGTCATCATAATCTTTTCTGAAACTAAATCCTGTACATAGATATTTATAAAGTAAACTTTAATCTACCTTTGTAGATATAACGATGATCTGGCCTCTGGTTTCACACTGGTCTTCCTCACAGAGCCAATGATTTTAGCAAAAGTTTTAATAAAAAAGTGGGGGTTTAAATTGAAATCTTCTGATTATTTTGATATGTCAGTCATCTTTTAATATTTAGTGTATTGCTTCTAATCTATGGCTCTTGTGACTTTTTTCAAACTGTTGTTGCATAAATTGCGCTCTGCGGACGTTTCCCTGCGGCGAAATCTTTGCGCAACTACAATATCAATGTATTTTTATCTAATTAAGTATTTTTTCTCCCCCACCCCCTCCTCTCCATTTAGGCATGCTATTTGAAGGCCATAGAAACACAACCTAACTTTGCCGTGGCCTGGAGCAATCTGGGATGTGTGTTCAATGCTCAGGGAGAAATCTGGTTGGCCATTCATCATTTTGAAAAGGTAGGTACATGTGATGTACAAAAATCTTTCTGATATACATTTTGTGTTAAGTATTGGTGCTTTCTAAAAACAAAATGTGATATTTAAACTAACTTCAGAAAACTTTACATACCAAGGGAACTTTTAAATTATCTTTAAGGTTTTAAAAAATGTTGCTTGTTTTGTATATTTAAGTAAACACTATTTAATGGTACATTTGAATTTCAGGCTGTGGCTTTAGACCCAAACTTCCTGGATGCATATATCAATCTAGGAAATGTTCTTAAAGAAGCCAAGATATTTGACCGAGCTGTAGCTGCCTATCTGCGAGCACTAAACCTCAGTCCAAATCATGCAGTGGTCCATGGAAATCTGGCTTGTGTTTACTATGAACAGGGGTAGGAACACTAAACAGTGGTTGTTAGGCTTAGATCATAATTCTTATGTTTCAGTTAACCATTCGCAAAAAGGGATTTAAAAAAAAATACAGTATAGAAGGAGTATTGTGTTGAAAATTACAGTGTAGAAAGAGTATTGCTTTAAATACAGTGTAGAAAGAGTATTGCTTTAAATAATACAGTGTAGAAAGAGTATTGCTTTGAAAATACAGCATAGAAAGAGTATTGCTTTAAAAATACAGTGTAGAAAGAGTATTGTTTTAAAAATACAGTGTAGAAAGAGTATTGCTTTATATAATACAGTGTAGAAAGAGTATTGCTTTAAATACAGTGTAGAAAGAGTATTGCTTTAAAAATACAGTGTAGATTGAGTATTGCTTTGAAAATACAGCATAGAAAGAGTATTGCTTAAAATAATACAGTGTAGAAAGAGTATTGCTTTAAAAATACAGCATAGAAAGAGTATTGCTTAAAAAATACAGTGTAGAAAGAGTATTGTTTTGAAAATACAGTGTAGAAAGAGTATTGCTTTAGATACAGTGTAGAAAGAGTATTGCTTTAAATACAGTGTAGAAAGAGTATTGCTTTAAATAATACAGTGTAGAAAGAATATTGCTTTGAAAATACAGCATAGAAAGAGTATTGCTTAAAATAATACAGTGTAGAAAGAGTATTGTTTTGAAAATACAGTGTAGAAAGAGTATTGCTTTAGATACAGTGTAGAAAGAGTATTGCTTTAAATACAGTGTAGAAAGAGTATTGCTTTAAATAATACAGTGTAGAAAGAGTATTGCTTTAAATACAGTGTAGAAAGAGTATTGCTTTAAATACAGTGTAGAAAGAGTATTGCTTTAAATACAGTGTAGAAAGAGTATTGCTTTATATAATACAGTGTAGAAAGAGTATTGCTTTAAATACAGTGTAGAAAGAGTATTGCTTTATATAATACAGTGTAGAAAGAGTATTGCTTTAAATACAGTGTAGAAAGAGTATTGCTTTATTGAAAAAATTACAGTGTAGAAAGAGTATTGCTTTAAATACAGTGTAGAAAGAGTATTGCTTTAAAAATACAGTGTAGAAAGAGTATTGCTTTATTGAAAAAATTACAGTGTAGAAAGAGTATTGCTTTATATAATACAGTGTAGAAAGAGTATTGCTTTATATAATACAGTGTAGAAAGAGTATTGCTTTAAATACAGTGTAGAAAGAGTATTGCTTTAGATACAGTGTAGAAAGAGTATTGCTTTATATAATACAGTGTAGAAAGAGTATTGCTTTAAAAATACAGTGTAGAAAGAGTATTGCTTTAAAAATACAGTGTAGAAAGAGTATTGCTTTATTGAAAAAATTACAGTGTAGAAAGAGTATTGCTTTATATAATACAGTGTAGAAAGAGTATTGCTTTAAATACAGTGTAGAAAGAGTATTGCTTTAAAAATACAGTGTAGATTGAGTATTGTTTTATTGAAAAAATTACAGTGTAGAAAGAGTATTGCTTTATATAATACAGTGTAGAAAGAGTATTGCTTTAAATACAGTGTAAAAGAGTATTGCTTTATATATACAGTGTAGAAAGAGTATTGCTTTAAATACAGTGTAGAAAGAGTATTGCTTTATATAATACAGTGTAGAAAGAGTATTGCTTTAAAAATACAGTGTAGAAAGAGTATTGCTTTAAATACAGTGTAGAAAGAGTATTGTTTTATTAATTTCTTTACATTTTCACAGGCTAATTGATCTGGCAATAGACACATACAAGCGAGCCATAAAACTACAACCAAACTTTCCTGATGCATATTGTAACCTGGCCAATGCTCTAAAAGAGAAAGGAAAGGTAAGAAAAACTACAATGAAATGTTTCATCGATAAGTAAATCTTGTTGGCGTTCAGATATAATAAAGTTATTCAATTAGAAACTTTATAAGAAGTCATATTTCGTAACGAAAATTGTAAATTTGGAGTGTCTTGAAGTGTCACATAAACTACGAAAATTCGTTTTTTAGGAATGTTTTATACATCATACAATTCACATTTGTATCAAAAGGTGGCTGAGGCAGAGGAATGTTACAACACTGCTCTGAAGTTGTGTCCAACACATGCAGATTCCCTGAACAACTTGGCCAATATTAAAAGGGAGCAGGGCAATACAGAAGAGGCTGCAAGATTATACCTTAAGGCCTTAGAGGTACACTTCACTTGGGTTACTCTTAGAATTGTAAATCTTCCTTTTTTTTGTGTGACTCATTATAGTTGCTTCCCTTAATCTATGATAACTGAATACTTTTTTTATATTGATGAACAAAATGATATAAAGTAGAAAACTTTGATATTATTACCAAATTTGGTCTTGATTTATAAACTTTTTATAATGACTTCATTTCTAGGTGTATCCAGAGTTTGCTGTGGCACATTCTAACTTGGCTAGTGTGTTGCAACAACAGGGTAAACTCCATGAAGCACTTATGCATTATAAGGAGGCCATTAGGTAAACACAAACTATCTAGTGTTGGTTCACATAAAGAACATGTCCTGTTGGTTGTAAGGTTGAGTGTTTGAAATTCTGCTAGATTGTGGGCAAAAGTAACATATTCTTACAATAATATGTGATTGACAACAGTGGCTTTAGTTGTTGTTCCTTGTCAAAATCTATACTTTGTGAAATATATTTAAAAATTGTGGTAATCCAAATAAATTATTTATGGAAGTTCAAATGTATGTCAATGTTTGAAGGAAAATGTCTCGGTTTTCTTCATGATTAAAGTGTAATAGGATTATACTAGATTTTGATTTAAGACATATTTTAAGGGAGAAATGTTTCATGATTGACTTGTGGAAATACAAGTTTTTATTTCAAAGAATGAATATTTTTTCACTTTTCAGAATCTCACCAACATTTGCCGATGCATACTCCAATATGGGTAACACGCTGAAGGAGATGCAGGACATCCAGGGGGCGCTACAGTGTTACACGCGTGCTATTCAGATCAACCCTGCCTTCGCTGATGCTCACAGTAACCTTGCATCAATACACAAGGTTGGTATTCCTATGGCTTTATATGCAAGCTTGCATAAAAGTTCTTATAAATGGCTACCCATACACATGTACACATACATTAAAAGCTACTCAGTACGATGGATTACTTTCAATTTTATGCTTTCTTATTGAATAACATTATGACAACAGAATGTAGACAGAAAAGTTAATCCAAACTGTTAGGTTGTGGATACTGTTAAGATCCAGTTAAACAAACATAAGCCTTGTGTACACTATGAGAAGAATTTGGTATACTATCACTTTCATTGTTGACATGTGTGATTGAAACTACCTTGCATACACACCTCCATACTTCCATACTTGTAATTGATTTTACAGTGGCTATCTCCAGTAATTTATGTACAGGTATGTCGAGGGCATCACTTGATATTTCTGATGGATTTCAGACATGGTAGCTGATGTTGAAATGAGTTCATTTGTTTATTGTTACAAATTTAATATGAAAAATAGACCTTTTGAAACCACTAGCATACTTTTAGATGCTGTAGTAAAAGGTTAGTCTTATGATAATATCATACAGTGTATAACAATCAATGGACCCTAATACAACACAAGCAAATTTTATACTCATTTCAGCATTAATCTTGTTAACAGTGTTTCTGTTTACTGAAAATGTACAGCGGTCAGGCATGAATACAGAGCAAAGTTCATTCCATTGTTCCAATCTTGATTACTTAGCTAGGGTGAAAAACAACTGTCTTACTCTACTTGTGTTCTATCTTGTTCAAAATGTTGAATTGATCAGTTAAGTAGACAGTATTTCAAAATCGAGACATTGTAAGGCACTGGGATGAATTTTGCTGATTTTGTCATTGCGGATGTTACACAGATTCAGAGATGCATTCAAAAGAGAAAATTTTTAAAGTGATTTTGCATTCTGATGTAATCAAATTCCTTGGGTGTAAAATTTGATTCCCTGGATTAGACAGAAGATGCAAGTTTTGTCATGAATTAGGTATCAACAAGATATGATTCACTTATGTTATATATGGTCATGCTGAGGATTAATTTCATTGGAGGTATTTTTCATACGATACATTAAAAACTTTCAGGATTCTGGAAACATCCCAGAGGCGATATCTTCTTATAGAACAGCACTGAAGCTGAAACCAGATTTTCCTGATGCCTACTGTAACCTTGCCCACTGTCTACAGGTAAGTAACCACCTGTGATATATATATACTGTAACCTTGACCACTGTCTACAGGTAAGTCATCACCTGTGATATATATACTGTAACCTTGCCCACTGTCTACAGGTAAGTCATCACCTGTGATATGCATATACTGTAACCTTGACCACTGTCTACAGGTAAGTCATCACCTGTGATATATATACTGTAACCTTGACCACTGTCTACAGGTAAGTCATCACCTGTGATATATATACTGTAACCTTGCCCACTGTCTACAGGTAAGTAATCACCTGTGATATATATACTGTAACCTTGACCACTGTTTACAGGTAAGTAATCACCTGTGATATATATACTGTAACCTTGGCCACTCTCAAAAAGAAATTTGATGAACTCTGACATGTTCTGTAATCTTGATGGTGTCTATAGTTTCTGAAAGGAAATCACCTCTAAAACTTGTATTGTAGCTTGCCAGGATTTTGTTTGTTTGATTGTTTTTCTTCATTTAAACTTTTAAACATTTCAACAAATCTTTTAATGTTGCTTCCTATACCTGTTCCAGATCGTTTGTGACTGGACAGACTATGGTGTGAGGATGAAAAGACTAGTAAGAATTGTCCAGGACCAGTTGGAGAAAAATCGTCTACCTTCAGTACATCCCCACCACAGTATGTTGTACCCACTCACACACCAGATGAGGAAAAACATTGCTGTGCGACATGCCAACCTCTGTCTAGAAAAGGTAACCTTCTGAACTGATGAACTTGTGTGTGATTTATAATAGAATATGATATGTTAAAATGCTTATCATTCAAGACCAAATATTATATAAAAACAGTAATATGAGTTTGTCATTATTCCAAATGCTTAATTGATGGTTTAATTAATTTTCAGATAAATGTGTTGCACAAGCCGGCATATGATCACGTGCAGGACACAAGAGCTAGTAGTGGACGACTGAGGATAGGTTATGTCAGTTCTGACTTTGGTAACCATCCAACATCTCACCTGATGCAGAGTATTCCAGGCTTCCATGACCGGAAAAATGTAGAGGTGTGTCACCAATTAAAATTAAAACAGCTGATATGTATCATTGGGGTGTTGTTCTGTAATGAGCAGAATATAAAGAAATTGGGCATAGTGAGGTAGATCATTGTATACATTATTATGTAGATATATGTATTTATAGATAAACTGTTGGGTGATGGAGAAAAGATGTTCATACCCCATGTTCTATTTCTTATAGATATTCTGCTATTCGTTGAGCCCGGATGATGGAACCTCATTCAGAGCTAAAATTTCCAGAGAAGCAGAACACTTCATAGATCTGTCTCAGGTAAGTAGGATACATGGACTAACACTTTGATTGATTAGAGACAGGTAAGTAGGATACATGGACTAACACTTTGATTAGAGACAGGTAAGTAGGATACATGGACTAACACTTTGATTGATTAGAGACAGGTAAGTAGGATACATGGACTAACACTTTGATTGATTAGAGACAGGTAAGTAGGATACATGGACTAACACTTTGATTGATTAGAGACAGGTAAGTAGGATACATGGACTAACACTTTGATTGATTAGAGACAGGTAAGTAGGATACATGGACTAACACTTTGATTGATTAGAGACAGGTAAGTAGGATACATGGACTAACACTTTGATTGATTAGAGACAGGTAAGTAGGATACATGGACCAACACTTTGATTAGAGACAGGTAAGTAGGATACATGGACTAACACTTTGATTGATTAGAGACAGGTAAGTAGGATACATGGACTAACACTTTGATTAGAGACAGGTAAGTAGGATACATGGACTAACACTTTGATTAGAGACAGGTAAGTAGGATACATGGACTAACACTTTGATTAGAGACAGGTAAGTAGGATACATGGACTAACCCTTTGATTGATTAGAGACAGGTAAGTAGGATACATGGACTAACACTTTGATTAGAGACAGGTAAGTAGGATACATGGACTAACACTTTGATTGATTAGAGACCGGTAAGTAGGATACATGGACTAACACTTTGATTAGAGACAGGTAAGTAGGATACATGGACTAACACTTTGATTAGAGACAGGTAAGTAGGATACATGGACTAACACTTTGATTGATTAGAGACAGGTAAGTAGGATACATGGACTAACACTTTGATTGATTAGAGACAGGTAAGTAGGATACATGGACTAACACTTTGATTAGAGACAGGTAAGTAGGATACATGGACTAACACTTTGATTGATTAGAGACAGGTAAGTAGGATACATGGACTAACACTTTGATTAGAGACAGGTAAGTAGGATACATGGACTAACACTTTGATTAGAGACAGGTAAGTAGGATACATGGACTAACACTTTGATTAGAGACAGGTAAGTAGGATACATGGACTAACACTTTGATTGATTAGAGACAGGTAAGTAGGATACATGGACTAACACTTTGATTAGAGACAGGTAAGTAGGATACATGGACTAACACTTTGATTGATTAGAGACAGGTAAGTAGGATACATGGACTAACACTTTGATTAGAGACAGGTAAGTAGGATACATGGACTAACACTTTGATTAGAGACAGGTAAGTAGGATACATGGACTAACACTTTGATTGATTAGAGACAGGTAAGTAGGATACATGGACTAACACTTTGATTGATTAGAGACAGGTAAGTAGGATAGTAGTTGAGGCAGAGGGAATTATCAATAAGATGACTATCAGCTGTGAAATTTTATATCTTGGTTACATAGCTATTATTTCAGTGATCTAAATATGTGTGACATTCATATTGCTGATCATTATATGTCTACAATACAAAATGTTTCTGCTCCATTGTAAAACATTGACATGTTTCTATTGTAGATACCATGCAATGGTAAAGCAGCTGACAGGATCCATGCTGATGGCATTCACATCCTTGTTAACATGAACGGCTACACCAAGGGAGCTAGGAATGAACTGTTTGCCCTGAGGCCTGCACCTGTACAGGTGATGTGGCTGGGTTACCCAGGGACCAGTGGGGCATCCTTCATGGACTACATTCTTACTGACAAGGTCACATCTCCTCTCAATCTTGCTGACCAGTACTCAGAGAAGCTTGCTTACATGGCCGATACATTCTTTGTGGGTGACCACAAACAGATGTTCCCTCATCTAACGGACAAAGTATTGGAGGAGGTGAATGGTGAAGCGTCTGACAATAACATTGTCTACAATGGTGTTGACTTGGAGCCATTGATGAAGACTGGTGATGTTAACTACACAACAAACAACTGTGAGAAGGGCTTCACAACAGATGAGGCTGATGGATCACGTGGGATGGTTACTTTCAAGAGTATGAACCTACAGGTAACACCAATCCTTGATGCTATGATACAGAACAGTATGCCTTACTCTTACATCAACAACGTTGGCATCCAGAATGGAGTTACGACAACCCAGGTGTGTACAGAACTTAGACATAGTGGTTCTAACATGATTTCTGTAACACAAATTGTTTTTGTTACCTCAATTTGCAATCTGATTGTAGATGCATGACTGAATATTTGTGATTGTTATATGCCTGCTGGCTTGCTGGTTTGAAGTAATGATGAAGAGAGAACAGACACTAATGTTTTAAATACATTTTAAAAGTAATCATTTGATAAAGTCAGTAAAAATATTTTTGTGGCAAATCTGTCACCGGTCTCTTATTTAGTATTATCTGTAGCTGTCAACAATAACATGTTATAGACATATAATATATTGCAGACAAACAACAAGTCTGCAACAGGAGAGGAGGTGCCTACAAACATCATCATCACTGCTCGCAGTCAGTATGGTCTACCTAGTGATGCGGTGGTGTACTGTAATTTCAACCAGCTGTACAAGATTGATCCAGCCACACTAGACATGTGGGTGGAGATCCTCAAGCGTGTGCCCAACAGTGTTCTGTGGCTGCTTCGCTTCCCTGCTGTAGGGGAACCCAATGTTATACAAGCTGCCATCAATGCTGGACTTGGCCTCAACCGTATCATATTTTCCCCAGTAGCTCCAAAGGTATGACCTGTCTTCCATTTACATGTATAATCTTCACATTCATAACTTGTCAAAATCCACCTCTGAATACAACTGTAAGTCCATGTTAACAATTTGTCACACATCATTTTCCTCTAAATATATTTTGTCAACCAGTGCGTTATTAGTCGATAAAGTTTGATCTTTTAGTCTTTCCTTTCTTTATCAGGAGGAGCATGTACGACGTGGCCAGCTTGCTGATGTATGTCTTGATACCCCCTTATGTAACGGACACACAACTGGCATGGATGTACTCTGGGCTGGAACTCCTATGGTTACACTGTTAGGTTAGTATTCCCTGTAATCTATTAGTCTTGGCAGTTTGGAAGTGTGAGGATAGGTTTGGTGATCATTTTGAAGAATTATGTCCAGGCATACAGAGAAGTGTTTCAGAGACACTTTTTATCGTTAAAGTTCAAAAGCTTCATGATTTCACTGAAGAATTTTGAGTTGTCACTTTGGTTTAAAATGAGCCAAGTACCTATTTTGCCATACTGTTGATTCACATCAAAGAATCTGAAGTGTGTTGGTATCCGTTATAAAGCCTGGAGTTTCTGCAAAATACTTCATCAAGTGTGATTGTGTTATTATGCATCCATCTTTTCCAAATTAAAAATTATATATAGGTATGATAAACTTTGTATTAATGAGATTGGAGGTATGATAAACTTTGTATTAATGAGATTGGTGGTCTTGCATACCTTGTTCTTGATGTCATATTTGTATGATTGTATTTCAGGAGAAACACTAGCATCAAGGGTGGCTTCCTCCCAGCTCTACACACTAGGCTGTCCTGAACTTGTTGCTGAGACACGTGAGACTTATATCAACGTTGCAGCTAGACTTGGCTCCAACAAGGAGTAGTAAGTAGATCAGAACAAGAATTGAATCATTTTCTTCTGCCTTTTTCTGGTCAAAATGTGTAGTTTTAACTTACCTTCTTGATGAAAAAGAGTTGGTTCTAGTGGAAGTTTTATCTTCTACTTTACTCACTCTTTGCAAAATTTTGTTTTTAGCAAAATTTACTTTTAAAAGCCTTGAATATCAGGGGACTGTTTACTTTTGTGAAACATTGCTGAATTCAAGATAGATATAAAGATATTGTAGGTTCTTATTTTATTGGCTTGAAAACTTGTTCACTTTCTAATGCAATTAACAATTCACAAAATGTTGGTAGAGTGAGCACCGCAATATATCATGCATGGTTTACATTACAGTCTGAGAGGGATGAGGGCCAAGGTGTGGAAGGCCAGACTATCAAGTCCCCTATTTAACTGTCAACACTACGCCAGCAACATGGAGTCCCTTTACCGCAAGATGTGGCAGAGGTACGAAGAGGGACTGGAACCTGATCACTTATCTGTACAATGATATTGATGTGTAAAAAGTGACAATTATATATGAAGGACTGCTTGTTCAGTAACCTACTGACCTTTTGATGTACATTGTGTAAGATAGTTTCTTATAAATAGAACAAAGTGTTTAGCACTATGAAAGGTCAGAAGACCAGTGTAAATGTCCAGATGTGCTCAAGACTTGAATTTTGAATGGAATTTAGCTGATGGGAGAATGACAGAATCCTTTGCGATTCTATTCATTGCATGCATGTAGTGCTGTTTGCATTTTATGGGTGAATCCTGTATATCTCGTTTTAAAAATGTGTAGTTAAAACATTCTCTTAATCCTTCCATTTCTTATAAGATAGCAGATATCTGTAATTATGCGAGACGATGAGAAGCATGATAGTGTGAGAATGTGTGATGCATGCAATTCATATTTTTTTTTATTATTTTACTTGCAATTTTCCTTTTATTTAATTCTGGGTTTATGTATAAATAATTTATATCTGGTTTGTTTGTATATATGTATATAGCTTTGGAGACCTACATGTGTATAGTGTGTAGTTGTAATTGTCCATACACTGTGTGATATTATGTGTATCTCATCCATATTGCAAGTAAGGAATAAAGCAGGGTTCTAAATTATATCGTGAGTTATGTCTTAATTCTTTCCAATGAACAAAGAGCTTTCAGCATCGTTTCATTTAATATCTTTACAATACATAATGTATTGAATCTCTTAATCCTTCATTGATAAATTTAAGTGATGGTATACATTTATTCATCCAGTGATACCCTTTTCCCAGAGGATGCAGACCACATTTAGTCAAATTCTCATAAGTAGCAATTACAAAAGTTTGACAGACTCCACCCTTTTCCCAGAGGATGCAGTCCACATTTGGTCAAATTCTCAGAAGTAGCAATTACGAAAGTTGGACAGACTCCACACCGTGGCATAAGCACCTTACCTGATAACTGCCAAAATCGAATCAGGTGTAGAACTTTGTGGTGTGATGCTCTGGTACAAATACTACATCATGTACATGATTTCACCAAATAAAACCTACGATTACTGGGATTTTGTTAACGCAAGGATGACCTTAAACTTTGACCAAGAACTATCAAAACCTGATCTTGTGTAAACTTGATTATGCATGCTAGGAACATGAATATCAACCTTGTTTGTCTAAAGGTCCATGGGAGATTTTTTACAAAGATATTTCAAACGTAGTCAAGGGTGACCTATGACCTTTTGACCTTTATCAAAATGTAATCGTGTGTAAAACTAGTAAAGTTAGTGTGAAAAGGAACTCTGTCCAGGTCATGAAGCAAGTGTTATTTCTGAACGAACATTAATGATGCATCATACAAGTCTTTTATAAACGACCAATAATGATGCACTATACAAGTGTTATTTATAAACGACCAATAATGATGCATCATACAAGTGTTATTTATAAACGACCAATAATGATGCACCATACAAGTCTTATTTATAAACAACCAATAATGATGCATCATAGTGTTATTTATAAATGACCAATAATGATGCACCATACAAGTGTTATTTATAAACGACCAATAATGATGCATCATAGTGTTATTTATAAACGACCAATAATGATGCATCATACAAGTGTTATTTATAAACGACCAATAATGATGCACCATACAAGTCTTATTTATAAACAACCAATAATGATGCATCATAGTGTTATTTATAAACGACCAATAATGATGCACCATAGTGTTATTTATAAATGACCAATAATGATGCATCATACAAATGTTATTTATAAACAACCAATAATGATGCATCATAGTGCTATTTATAAACGACCAATAATGATGCATCATACAAGTCTTATTTATAAATGACCAATAATGATGCATCATACAAATGTTATTTATAAACGACCATTAATGATGCATCATACAAGTGTTATTTATAAATGACCAATAATGATGCATCATAGTGTTATTTATAAACGACCAATAATGATGCACCATAAAAGTGTTATTTATAAACGACCAATAATGATGCATCATACAAGTGTTATTTATAAACGACCAATAATGATGCACCATACAAGTGTTATTTATAAACAACCAATAATGATGCACCATAGTGTTATTTATAAACGACCAATAATGATGCATCATACAAGTCTTATTTATAAATGACCAATAATGATGCATCATACAAATGTTATTTATAAACGACCAATAATGATGCATCATACAAGTGTTATTTATAAATGACCAATAATGATGCATCATAGTGTTATTTATAAACGACCAATAATGATGCACCATAAGTGTTATTTATAAATGACCAATAATGATGCATCATGATGCATCATACAAGTGTTATTTATAAATGACCAATAATGATGCATCATAGTGTTATTTATAAATGACCAATAATGATGCATCATAGTGTTATTTATAAATGACCAATAATGATGCATCATACAAGTCTTATTTATAAACAACCAATAATGATGCATCAGTGTTATTTATAAACGACCAATAATGATGCACCATACAAGTGTTATTTATAAACGACCAATAATGATGCACCATAGTGTTATTTATAAACAACCAATAATAATGCACCATACAAGTGTTATTTATAAACGACCAATAATGATGCACCATAGTGTTATTTATAAACAACCAATAATGATTCATCATACAAGTGTTATTTATAAACGACCAATAATGATGCACCATAGTGTTATTTATAAATGACCAATAATGATGCATCATACAAATGTTATTTATAAACGACCATTAATGATGCATCATACAAGTGTTATTTATAAACGACCAATAATGATGCACCATAGTGTTATTTATAAACGACCAATAATGATGCATCATAGTGTTATTTATAAACGACCAATAATGATGCATCATACAAGTCTTATTTATAAACGACCATTAATGATGCATCATACAAGTCTTATTTATAAACAACCAATAATGATGCATCAGTGTTATTTATAAACGACCAATAATGATGCATCATACAAGTGTTATTTATAAACGACCAATAATGATGCATCATACAAGTGTTATTTATAAATGACCAATAATGATGCATCATAAAAATGTTATTTATAAACGACCAATAATGATGCATCATACAAGTCTTTTATAAACGACCAATAATGATGCATCATAGTGTTATTTATAAATGACCAATAATGATGCATCATACAAGTGTTATTTATAAACAACCAATAATGATGCATCATACAAGTGTTATTTATAAACGACCATTAATGATGCATCATACAAGTACAAGTGTACTTTATGGCACAAGACATTTTCAGATAAAAGTCGGACTCTGTCATGCTTTTCATTATATTTATTTCTCACCTAGCCCACAGACTAGTCAGGAAGAAGTGACCGGATAAAATATAGAATTCAACAAAGTATTCTTTTGTAGATAACAAACACAACACAATAAAACTATACATAAATATTAATGTAATATAAATATCTGTACAGGGTTAACTAAACCAGATTCAATCTAAAACTCTTTTTGCATATTGATAAAACAAGTCACTTTTTCTATCATTTACAAATGCACTAAGCTCATGACAAACACTTCAAACATGTTGGAAGGAAACTCTTGCATACATGCTAGCACAGCTTTCCACACTTTTAAAGAACATAAACATTCTCACACACTTACACAGGTCATTTGGCACTGGTACACTCTTTCAAACACCATTAGCTTGATTCTGTTTGACAAACACTTCAATGTGTGTAACAGGCAATGTCATATGACACGCCCACTATCCTGTCGTCTTGTGGCAGTCCTGGCTAAATTACACACAGACCATGACACATGACACAGATTTTTCCAAGATTGGGACATAGCATTTGATCCTTGCACACTCCAAACAAGCAAAAGCCATATAGATTCTATAAGACCCTGATTCTAACCTAGCACTTTCAGATCAACATATATATAAATCAAGCAATCCATCCAAATTACCATACTAGTTGAATGCTATCAACACACTCTGCAAGAAATGGACAGAATGGCTAAGATACATTTGTAATTAATTAAAACCAGATTTGTTAAGATTCATGACTAAAACATACATCTGTAGTTTTCATTTTGATTGATAGTAGAGATCACAAGACTCTGCTCGAGTTTCCTAGGCTAAATTTTGTGTAGTCAAGTTTTTGTGGAGTCATGGGTGTATAAACCCGAGCCTTGTAGTACATCTATTGTGTTAAATAGCACAAGTGTAAATTATATTGTTTTTAGATTATGCTTCTGATCTCTATTATGAGAAACAGTCCTCAATCATATACAGAAATTGTACAAATCTCACTCAAATGCCATTAGCTTACTGTAAGTGGATTTTCAGGTCTTATAAACCTCCTCTGAATGATCCCTGAAAAACCATGCATTTTTATCTAATTTCTCATTATATTCAGAAATCAAGTTCCGTGAAAGCAGGAAACCTTTGTATTGGATATACTCACTGACACCTGTTTGACAACTGCCAGATATCCAAACTTTTAAGATTTCTAAGGTAGCTTTCAATTAAACAGTTGAACCAGATATAACTACAAGAAAGCTAAGCACATATCAGGACTGAGGCTGGACAACAGAATACTCCCCAAATGTAGTTTCAGGATCCAGCCAAACCTGTACAAAATAACTGGCTGAATATGATTTCTCCATAAACCAGGGTTGGTGCACTTACATATTTCTGGAAATGTGATGATATTCAGTATGCATATTGGTTCATTTTTATATAAATAAGATTTCCAACATTCAGTGCAGGTGTTATTGTGGATAGTTCTGTGCTGGCTACACCATTTCAACCAGGTAATGCATAAACAGTCTCTGTGCGAGAACCAAAAAATGTTCACCTTGTGAATTACATGTAGTTGATGGATATCTTCCATCTACAACTCAATATATATGCATTCATATGGTATAATTCATTTAAAGTTGAACTTCTAAGAATTAAACAATATCCAGTAATTCGGTCGTTTTAGAGTTCTGTACCTTATGTTAACCAGTAGTTTTTTTTTCTTTATTATGTAGTTAACACAATGAGCCAACACAAAAACAATATGTAAATCACTTGATAATTTTTTGTAGTTTACAGTTTTTGAATTATTTTCAGTAAATAGTTCTTAGAAATTTGACATTTGGATAGAAAACACTGACTGCAACAATTAAGAAGATGAGATCACTGCAACAACATCTGGAGTTGTTAACAGAAGTGTTACTTTCATCCCTCATTCTCCAAAGTGTGATGGTGTTGTACAAACACACACAAAATTTATGACAGCAACTCAGTTGGATGAGAGGTGATCAGGCTCCAGTCCCTCTTCGTACCTCTGCCACATCTTGCGGTACAGGGTCTCCATGTTGCTGGCGTAGTGTTGACAGTTAAATAGAGGACTTGATAGTCTGGCCTTCCACACCTTGGCCCTCATCCCTCTCAGACTGTAAACAAATCATATACATCTGTAAACTTGGTATAAACTACATATCTATATGTACGAAAACTATGAAATGGAAATAATATGAAACTTTCGAGACAGTCTCAATACTGCATGCAGCTGAGTTTCTATTATAGACCTCAAGTTATAGCATCACAAAGCTGTTTATAGACCTGAAAGCTTAAGGTCTGTTTATAGACCTGAAAGCTTAAGGTCTGTTTATGGACCTGAAAGCTTAAGGTCTGTTTATAGACCTGAAAGCTTAAGGTCTGTTTATAGACCTGAAAGCTTAAGTTCTGTTTATGGACCTGAAAGCTTAAGTTCTGTTTATGGACCTGAAAGCTTAAGTTCTGTTTATGGACCTGAAAGCTTAAGGTCTGTTTATAGACCTGAAAGCTTAAGTTCTGTTTATGGACCTGAAAGCTTAAGTTCTGTTTATGGACCTGAAAGCTTAAGGTCTGTTTATAGACCTGAAAGCTTAAGTTCTGTTTATGGACCTGAAAGCTTAAGTTCTGTTTATGGACCTGAAAGCTTAAGTTCTGTTTATGGACCTGAAAGCTTAAGTTCTGTTTATAGACCTGAAAGCTTAAGTTCTGTTTATGGACCTGAAAGCTTAAGGTCTGTTTATGGACCTGAAAGCTTAAGTTCTGTTTATGGACCTGAAAGCTTAAGTTCTGTTTATGGACCTGAAAGCTTAAGGTCTGTTTATGGACCTGAAAGCTTAAGTTCTGTTTATGGACCTAAAAGCTTAAGTTCTGTTTATGGACCTGAAAGCTTAAGTTCTGTTTATGGACCTAAAAGCTTAAGTTCTGTTTATGGACCTGAAAGCTTAAGTTCTGTTTATGGACCTGAAAGCTTAAGGTCTGTTTATGGACCTGAAAGCTTAAGGTCTGTTTATGGACCTGAAAGATTAAGGTCTGTTTATGGACCTGAAAGCTTAAGGTCTGTTTATGGACCTGAAAGCTTAAGTTCTGTTTATGGACCTGAAAGCTTCAGTTCTGTTTACAGACCCGAAAGCTTAAGTTCTGTTTATAGACCTGAAAACTTAAGCTAATGAGGCAGTTTGGTCACCGATTGTTAGCAACAGGACCATAAGAGTGTTAAGACAAGTAAGTAAAGATTCCAACATCAAACCTTTGATGTTATTCTAGTGTTTCATAGCATTCTGCTCTATCATAGTAACAATTCCAATGACAAACAAGTTTTACTACTATTACTTACTATTCTTTTTCTGTACCAAGCCTGACAGCAGTATTAATGTAATCTTCACGAGTCTCGGCAACTAGTTCAGGACAACCTAATGTAACCAGCTGTGAAGAGGCTACCCTTGAGGCAAGTGTCTCTCCTACACAAAAATGATGTACAAATTAACAGCTTGTATAGAAGACAAACAATTCATTTCATTTAATTTGCTATATTTTCACCAAGTTTCTAATAATTGAAATTTATCCAATTAAACACTTCACTAAAATTATTCTAGTGTCAATATTGACACAAATATTAAACAATTTCATAAACTGAAAAAAAATTTTTTTTTTTTTATACCCCAGCAAGATGAATAGAGTTTACAAATATGAATGAAGATGTATACGGTTTTCTTTTGTGAATAAATCTTGCCTTGAATTGGACAGACTTCAAATTTTTGATCAACAAGTATGTACAAAATGCTAAACCTTGTTACAAATCAATACTTATTCATTACCCTTCATTTACAGAACACCATCTTCTAATTTGTACCACTCACCTGAGAGGGTTATCATGGGAGTTCCAGCCCATAGGACATCCATGCCAGTTGTGTGTCCATTACAGAGGGGCGTGTCCAGACATACATCTGCCAATTGGCCACGACGTACATGCTCCTCCTAGGAATTTCCAAAGTAAACTTGGTAAGGCAATTTTCATGGGAAAAAATGTAAACTAGTAAATAGGAGAAAACATAAAACAAAACCCATGTAAGCCAATCCACATCCAAAGTTTGTCTGCACCCTGAGATTTTACTTAACCAACTAATGCCAACTAATGAGAAATTGGTTTCAAATAAAAAATCTTATTCTTTGCCAGCATATAGCTAAAAAATTACAGAAACCAATAACTTTATTTATCACCCATCATTTCACCTATAAATCTATTTATTATTCTCTTATCTCCAAATTAACACATCAGTTTAGTTACAGTTCATTTCTAGCCGCATGGAAACTAACAAGGTTCTTTTACGTGGACAACAAGAGAAGAAGTGAGATCAGAAAGTGAAATTGTGGAAGGGGAACTCCCACTTGAGAAAATGATGTACCTTTGGTGCTACAGGTGAAAATATGATTCGTTTTGGACCAAGTCCTGCATTGATGGCAGCCTTTATAACATTGGGTTCCCCTACAGCAGGGAAGCGAAGCAGCCACAGAACACTGTTTGGCACACGCTTGAGGATCTCCACCCACATGTCTAGTGTGGCTGGATCAATCTTGTACAGCTGGTTGAAATTACAGTACACCACCGCATCACTAGGTAGACCATACTGACTGCGAGCAGTGATGATGATGTTTGAAGGCACCTCCTCTCCTGTTGCAGACTTGTTGTTTGTCTGCAATATATGAAAAGACAATACTTTAGCAATGCAAACATGCAGATTATTCACCGATAACCTCATTTGTCATTCATAGCCTTTAACTGACAAGTGTTTAAAAAGAACAACAGATAAGTCACTTTCATATCTTAGTATCATACAAATCCGTTCTGATTTGATCTGTTCTAAACTGACTATAGGAATACAAAATCTTTTATATATTCCAGAAGCAAAGTTTCACCAAACACTAAAGTATCAGCTACAGCAACATTGAAATTTACAATTTGGTATATACAGGAATCATAACAACACTATGGAAACCTTTATAAACTTGACTTCCTGTGGAAAACCTGTTATCATCCTGGTGACAGCTTTTCAACTTGCTAGTCTTATCTGTCCACAATCGATAACATATTTGCTCAGTGTAACATCTATTTTGAAAAAATTGTTCACCAAATATAACCAACAACTTCTTAAGCATTTAGAAAATACAATAAATTTTAAATGTTTAAGTTATTGCATTGGCAAATAATATGCAAAATCCAAAACCGACAACATGACAGCTGTATGTTCCTATTAATTTTCTACCATATATTAGAGTTATTGAAACTGTTCAATACAGAACTATTACCTGGTTAGTAGTGACACCGTTCTGAATAGTGACATTTTTGATATAGGAGAGAGGCATGCTGTTCATTATCATGGCCTCTAGAACCGGTGACACTTCTAGGTTCATGGTCTTGAATGTAACCATGCCACGTGATCCATCAGCCTCATCAGTTGTAGACCCTTTCTCACAGTAGGTTGTCATCCACTTCACTTCTCCAGTGTTCATCAGAGGCTCCAAGTCAACACCATTGTAGACAATGTTATTGTCAGACGCTTCACCATTCACCTCCTCCAACACTTTGTCCGTTAGATGAGGGAACATCTGTTTGTGGTCACCCACAAAGAATGTATCGGCCATGTAAGCAAGCTTCTCTGAGTACTGGTCAGCAAGATTGAGAGGAGATGTGACCTTGTCAGTAAGAATGTAGTCCATGAAGGATGCCCCACTGGTCCCTGGATAACCCAGCCACATCACCTGTACAGGTGCAGGCCTCAGGGCAAACAGTTCATTCCTAGCTCCCTTGGTGTAGCCGTTCATGTTAACAAGGATGTGAATGCCATCAGCATGGATCCTGTCTGCAGCTTTACCATTGCATGGTATCTAAAAAAAGATGTATCAATTTAAATGTTACTCATATGTTACTATACTAATAATAAAATCTAGCTTCCTACATCTATTACCTATTTTAATGTATTGATGACTAGCCAGTTGCTGTCTTCATTATTAAGACTACTCTAGCAAAACATTTACAGACTCCCAAACAAATCACTACTACTTAAAGCAATTTGTCAATTTGATCTTAGGGGTTGTATCTCTAAAGCAGGACCTAGAGTCCTGGAGAGGGGGAGAAGTTCTACAGGAATAGCCCTAATTATGCATACTATAAAAGCTGAGTTTTAGACATCAAATTTTGTGCATTTCTTTTTTTAAATTATTTAATCAGCAACTGATCCAGTAGGATAATAGTAATCACAAAATTCATTGCTACTGATATATGTATCAAGTATGGACATACAATTGTGGATTTTACATCACAATAAAGAAACCTTGATGATAATATTAATCCTCATTAACTCCTGTACTGGCTCAGTCTACTAACCTGAGACAGATCAATAAAGTGGTGTGCTTCTCTAGACAGTTTTGCTCTGAAAGTTGTTCCATCATCAGGGCTCAAAGAGTAGCAGTATACCTGTGAATATGACAATATACAAAAGAGTGAAATTATGTCTTTATAATATATATAGACACCACAGCTCTTGACACTTGTAGCCTGGTTTGTTTAACCGTTTAGACCAGGACTGTTCATTTATGACATTTAGCTGACACACAAAAATCTATTTTGCTTTCTGGTGAGTTTCAACTAAGCCTTTCAAGGCCTGTATCAATATTTGCAGGTTCGTATGATTTATGCCTGAAATGTTTCATTTCAAATGTTGACAATTAGTTTATTCGCATAAACAAATAGGTTATTCACAAAGGATGTTATGTCCAATTGTTTATCTGAGCACATGTCTGCATAACATGGTATTCAAGGATTAACTCTGACTTCATTTCAAGTTATTCAGTACAGTGGCTGTGCAACACCCCAATGATACATATCAACTGTTTTAATTTTAATTGATGACTCACCTCTACATTTTTCCGGTCATGGAAGCCTGGAATACTCTGCATCAGGTGAGATGTTGGATGGTTACCAAAGTCAGAACTGACATAACCTATCCTCAGTCGTCCACTACTAGCTCTTGTGTCCTGCACGTGATCATATGCTGGCTTGTGCAACACATTTATCTAAAAATGAGGTAGTGTGTCTTTTAAACTTTGACCCAATACTCTTCTTCTAACAGAATTGTTTTAAAAAATTGAATTCCTAAGCCTCTATCATTCAAACAGTATAAGGTGTGGGCTATCAGAACAAAAGTATATTTGTGGCTTTGATATGACCTTATGGAAAGAGAGTGATGTTAGGTTGTTGAAAGTTTCAGTTAATATCTCATTATACTGGATGAGATACATTTAAATTACAAATACATCAGCTTTTAAATCAAACTTTGTTCTGCTACATTTTATTTCAAAGAAAACATGTTTTATTAAATCATGAACCAAAACGTTCCTTACGCATTGATCTTTGTTTTCTAGTAGATTCAAAAAGGCATTTTTTTTTAATAAAACGTCACCCTGTAACTGATTCAGCACCAAATTTTATAGCAGATTATTCAGTCTTATAAGCATGAAAATTAAGAGAGGAGGACAAATTACATTGTCACAATAAATTAACATTTACTTTATCGAGACACAGGTTGGCATGTCGTGCAGCAATGTTTTTCCTCATCTGGTGTGTGAGTGGGTACAACATACTGTGGTGGGGATGTACTGAAGGCAGACGATTTTTCTCCAACTGGTCCTGAACAATTCTTACCAGTCTCTTCATCCTCACACCATAGTCTGTCCAGTCACAAACGATCTGGAAAGGAAACAACATCTATGTAGATAGAGATATCCACCAAGTTTTTTTACAGTACCAATCAGGAGACAATTTACCATCAATCAGAGGTGATAACTTACCTGTAGACAGTCAGTCTTCAGAGATCCTGTAGACACACCTATCACAGGTGATGACTTACCTGTAGTGTTGTTCCGATTAATCAATTTAATCAAGTATCACTTGTTTGAGATGTTTGATCAATTAATCGATTAAGAAATCTGTAATCGATCATCGTGATGTATGAAAATAGATTATTTCAACATTGAAATTATTTTCAACATTAATAAAATAATTTTAAAAAAAAAGACATTTGTTTATATTAAAAAGTATTCTGTGCAATAAACGAATAACAAGCACACAAAATGATGGTGTAGGTACAACAGTTTTAGTAATTACGTGAATTGCTGTTAAAACATTACACAAAATACATATTTAGACTTGAATAATATCCAAAGACAGACAATTAAGAATTAATCGATTATAATCGATCATCGATCGGTTACACAAAGTTGATGATCGATCAGGAAATCTCCCGATTCCCAACACTACTTACCTGTAGACAGTGGGAAAGGTTACAGTATCTATCAGAGGTCATAACTTATCTGTAGACAGTGGGAAAGGTTACAGTACCTATCACAGGTGATGACTTACCTGTAGACAGTGGGAAAGGTTACAGTATCTATCAGAGATCATAACTTACCTGTAGACAGTGGGAAAGGTTACAGTATCTATCAGAGGTCATAACTTACCTGTAGACAGTGGGAAAGGTTACAGTATCTATCAGAGGTGATAACTTACCTGTAGACAGTGGGAAAGGTTACAGTATCTATCAGAGGTGATGACTTACCTGTAGACAGTGGGCAAGGTTACAGTATCTATCAGAGGTGATGACTTACCTGCAGACAGTGGGCAAGGTTACAGTAGGCATCAGGAAAGTCTGGTTTCAGCTTCAGGGCTGTTCTGTAGGAAGATATCGCCTCAGGGATGTTTCCAGAATCCTGAAAATCAAAATATTGATGATTACTGTATAAGTTGGTGAGTATTGAAAACAGCATAGACTCAGCCTGTTACATAGTACACACTCTATGTAACCTAAAAACATACTCATGACTCCTTTGAAATAAAAACAACTTTTCTAGGAAAAAATCACAGCAGAACAGATGTAATATAAGGATATTTTTTTCCAGACATTAAAGAGGTATCTATTTTTCCAGACATTTTGATCTCTTACTTACAAAACAGTTCCAATAACTTCCTTAATCTATTGTAATTTAGAGAAATACATAAAAAAAACTTGAACAAACAGAGGGACTCATTAGACTCTTTGATATGATATTTACTTTGTGGATTGTCAGTCATGCAGAAACAAAATTTGTAGATAAGTACTACAGCTAGATATCAGTTTTTTGTTGTTGTTTTTTTAATTCCTACAGTGTTTCTTAGCATTGTGAACATTAGCTAGTATATGTTTAAGTTTGAGGACTTGTTTAAGAAACCTTCAGAAAGATCAGAATGCTCTAATGTTCAGTCTCCGCTTTGTAAGAAAGGAATATCATCTGTTGTGTAACTTGAAGACTTTGAAAAATAGAAACAGCATTAAGGAGACAATGGCGTATTCTCAAAAGGAAACAAAATCTTCCATGTTTCTAATTGATAATTTTACAAACAGGAAGCAACACCATCTTCAGATCATTTCACCAAAATACTGATATGTAAACCGAATTGCTGTATCGTTACTAAACAATAGTACCCCACTAAGATTATCCACAGAATCGGAAACCCTCATAGACCCAAAATGTCCATTCAACAAAGACACCTCAAACTTCCTTTACAAAAATTCAGCAATTTCAAGTGTTTGTTGACAAATCAACATCATGCACCCTCACAACTTATATCCAGTGTGACACTATCCTAATATTTTTAATTAGAACCACCACACATACCTGGCCATCATATAACATCTGTCAAAAAAAGTAGATAGCAAAATAACACACACCTGACACTACCATGTTCATGTGAGAAAACCATAAAATCATGTCTGAAATCAGACGGACTAGGGACCAAGTTGTGATGGATGTGAAGACATTTTGATTTGAGGTGAGACAATGTCTCAATTATAATGCACATGGTTTAAAAGTCAACACAGAATTGGTCAGTCAATATGTTCATCTGTGAACTTTTTAAAAAAAATTTAAAATGAATATTAAATTAAGCAACCCATATCACTTTCATTTTGCCCATTTCTCAAATGACAAATATAAAATATTAATCAAAATAAGCCCAAACTGGTAATAATGATACAATCCATTTCATACATCAATAATGCAGGCAATGTGTTCAGTATTCAATCTAATAAATTAAAACAGTGTTTCACTTACAAGCACCTGCAAGCCTTGTAAACATGTTCACATGTTTGTGTAAGAGAACAAATATTATCAACATTTCACAGTGATAAATCTACATGAAAGTCCTGTGCTAATGGAATGTTGATAGAACTGATAAAATTTCAGGAAATATTTCAATTTTATCATATGGGACCAATTGTATTTAGCAATGAAGTCGAATAGGACACATGAAAATAGGTTGTAAGACTGATCACTGCCATAGATAAGATAAAGTTCCCTCCTTACTTCTAAATCAAGAATACCAACCTTGTGTATTGATGCAAGGTTACTGTGAGCATCAGCAAAGGCAGGGTTGATCTGTATAGCACGCGTGTAACACTGTAGCGCCCCCTGGATGTCCTGCATCTCCTTCAGTGTGTTACCCATATTGGAGTATGCATCGGCAAATGTTGGTGATATTCTGTGAAGCAACAAATTACTTTTTTTATATTGGAAAGCCCTGTTGGGTTTTGTTTCTTTTAAATATACATAAAATATTTTAATACATAAGAAAATTTCAAATGTCAGAATCTTTATTTTCATTTTTTTTTCTTCTTATATCAACTCCACCCTACAATTACTACATTTCTCTTCATTTATATGTCTGTTGTTAATTTAGGTTGACATTGGTTGCTGGGTTTCTGTAAGGAGATTATTATTCACTTAAACTTTATCACCAAATCTTCCTGGAAGAACTCCCAACTACCTTACCCCAGTCTGGCAGAGATATCTTATGAGAATAAAGGTCATTTTTGGGTCTCAAGGAATCTTGTAGTGGTACAAGGGATGTGTACGCCTTTTGGTTTCAAGGAATCTTGTAGTGGTACAAGGGATGTGTACGACCTTTGGTTTCAAGGAATCTTGTAGTGGTACAAGGGATGTGTACGCCTTTTGGTTTCAAGGAATCTTGTAGTGGTACAAGGGATGTGTACGACCTTTGGTTTCAAGGAATCTTGTAGTGGTACAAGGGATGTGTACGACCTTTGGTTTCAAGGAATCTTGTAGTGGTACAAGGGATGTGTACGCCTTTTGGTTTCAAGGAATCTTGTAGTGGTACAAGGGATGTGTACGACCTTTAGTTTCAAGGAATCTTGTAGTGGTACAAGGGATGTGTACGACCTTTGGTTTCAAGGAATCTTGTAGTGGTACAAGGGATGTGTACGACCTTTGGTTTCAAGGAATCTTGTAGTGGTACAAGGGATGTGTACGACCTTTGATTTCAAGGAATCTTGTAGTGGTACAAGGGATGTGTACGACCTTTGGTTTCAAGGAATCTTGTAGTGGTACAAGGGATGTGTACGACCTTTGGTTTCAAGGAATCTTGTAGTGGTACAAGGGATGTGTACTAGTGTCATGACGAGAAATTACCTAATAGCTTCCTTGTAATGGGTCAAGGCTTCATGGAGTTTTCCCTGTTGTTGCAACACACTGGCTAAGTTAGAGTGTGCCACAGCAAACTCCGGATACACCTAATAAATGAAAAATTTATTACAAAATCAATGGTATTTAATACCATACTGTTGAACAACCTAAATATCCCTTATACAAGATAGAATTTGTTACAAAATTGATGGTATTCAAAACCATTCTGTAAAAAAACTAAATTTCCCTTATACAAGATAGAATTTGTTACAAAATTGGCGGTATTTAACACCATTCTGTTCCATAATCTACAAATGTTGGGGAGTTTCTCTTTGAATGGCAAAATGTTCTCAAGAAAGGAAACAATTTAATAGCACAGATGCAGCAAATATCTACTAATCTTACCTCTAAGGCATTGAGGTAGAGTTTTACAGCCTCTTCTGTATTGCCCTGCTCCCTTTTAATATTGGCCAAGTTGTTTAAGGAATCTGCATGTGTTGGACTCAACTTGAGAGCAGTGTTGTAACATTCCTCTGCTTCTGGCACCTGTGATAGGATTTCAAGTTTTCCATGTGTTTCAATATATTTACAAATGGTTATTTACAGATTAACATGGCATCAGAAAAAATACAAATCCTCTCACTCTCATTTATAATAAAGTTTTGTTGCATCTTCTTCTATGGATAGTAAATAATTTAATCAAGGTCATCTCTGGCATGTCAAAACATGAAAGCATTCTAGGTAAGTTTAATTAAAATCAGTTGAGAAATGAAGTTGCTAGAGTGATGACAAAAGGTGAACATACACACAAACTGAATGCTATATCCCTGCTCTGTAGCTGCGAGGGGATACTTCTTTATCATAGTAAAGCACAATCCTCAACCAAGTCTACTTTCAACACAAACTTTTCTCTTCCGTCTACACTTATCTATCCAACCAATCATGAAGAAGGCTTGAATAGGCATTGCCTGTTGCCCAATTACCACTGAATCTTTTTGATTTAATAAAATATCTCGAATGAAACAATCCAACCAGGATTGATTTTTTATATCATTGCACAAACATATAGCTGTTTTGTCCAAGTATTTAGTAAATGAGGGCTGACATTTCTATATCCATCAAAAACTTAAAGACAATTGTTGTACCTTTCCCTTTTCCTTCAATGCATTAGCCAAGTTACAGTAAGCATCTGGAAAATTTGGCTGCAGTTCAATGGCTCTCTTGTATGTATCTATAGCCAGATCTATTAATCTGTAAAAAAAAAAAAAAAAACATGAATCTAAAATCTGTTTTGTTTTTTTCTCAAATATATATATAACATTCACTTTTATATTCCGAATTTCTTATGGTGTATCAAATGATAAATAAATATTTAAGTCTCCATGCAAATAAAATTGATTTTTTTTCTCCTGTTCATGTGTTACTTAACAATATAGTGAGGTCCCTATATCAAACATCTTTTGTCTACAAACATTTTGAAGCAAGACATTAAATAAAAATATATATCCTTGTTATTTAAAGGATTAATTTGACAAGATACGACTGAAACACCAGAAATTGTTTATGCCCATAGTCCTGTAAAACTTACCCCTGTTCGTAGTAGACACATGCCAGGTTTCCGTGAACTACTGCATGTTTTGGACTTAAGTTCAATGCCCTCAGATAAGCTGCCACAGCCCTGCAATGGTATCATTTTTATCTTAATCAGAAGAGCAGGTTTTGATTTTAAGATGTTTGACAGCTGGGTTTGTTAACCATTCAACCCAAAATTTGATAGAATTGAATGTATTTATTTTTATTGAAACTGTCAACCAACAGTGAAAACATACAATGACAGAATACTATGTACTTGTTCAAGTAAAACAGAATACTCTCCCCTTTTTCAAGAGCCGCTAGTCAATTGATGAAATACAATGAGGAAGCATACCTGTCAAATATCCTCGCTTCTTTTAAAACATTCCCCAAATTGATATAGGCATCCAGAAAATTGGGATCTAGAGCCACTGCCTGAAAAAAGGAAATAAATACCAGTGAAGAATATATTCTCAGTGATCAATCTAATAGTTTCACGAGTCTTTTTCAATTTTCTTGCTAAAAAAATGGGTCTCACGGTGCAGAAATTCTGTGAGTCCCATTAAAATTCTAGAAGTATATCACTTCATTCTTAACACATCAACAGTAAAACCAAGTTAAATTGACCAAAACATATCTTACCAATCTGCTATTCATTTTATTGGAGATTCATTATCAAGCTTTCCTTTATTATTACAAAATGTTTTGGCCAAAAAAGGAACTGGTCAAGGCCATTTCTCTACATGCGAAAGGTGGTTTGCGTTCAAGAAACAATTCTACTTCATCTCAAATTCAATTACAATTCATGATGCAAATTCAATAATTATTAAAACCAAAAATGTTAATTTAAAACATTTACAATAATGAATAGAAGGATTCCTACCTTCTCAAAATGGTGAATGGCCAACCAGATTTCTCCCTGAGCATTGAACACACATCCCAGATTGCTCCAGGCCACGGCAAAGTTAGGTTGTGTTTCTATGGCCTTCAAATAGCATGCCTAAATAGAGAGGAGGGGGTGGGGAGAAAAAAAATATTTTAGATGACATTAGAATATACATTGATGTGAAATTAGCGCCAAGATTCGCCGCAAATACCGTCCGCAGAGCGCTGTTCATGCAACGTCAGTTTGAATATGTCACAAGAGCCACGGATTAGAAGCACAGTAATAGAATTATTACGGTTCTTAAAATATCAGAAATGCTTTAAAGGTTGGAGCATACAGTTGTGGTAGTTAAAATTTCTATTGTACTTTTGCTAAAATCATTGACTCTGAACAAATGAAGACCAGTGTGAAACCAGAGACCAGATCACTTCTCCATTAGACGTATCAACAAAATGAAAATCACCTATCATTCATTAATTTTGAAATATCAGAAATTTGGAAGATATGCTCATGATCTGGACTTTACTTTCATTCTGTTCTGTAAAACCAAGTTGCAACAAGACACACTTGTATAATTCACAGTCCTTTCCTCTTACAATTATTTAATGAAAAAGCACCTCATTCAGCAATATGCTAAATATCAAAAACAAACTTCCCATTGAAATTTTTCAAGATAGAATTTGGTTAATTAATTTTTTTAATATATAAATTTTTGTTGTTCTTTTCCTCCAAAGACCCATGTAATACAATTCTGAAACATTTCTCTTGATCTAGTAATTGTTCTTTAAGCCAATGGGTCTCTTACTAAAATGTGTTTTGTGCCCCATGCACAACACTTGTGTTTGTCCATTTTCATGAAAGTGTGCTAAGAAATGCTTCAAGTGAGAAACTGGACAGGAGATTTACACAAGAATTTCTTGGCAAGCGTCCGCAAACGCTCTATCGCTGCGCAACAGGATACGCGCGCATGACAAAAAATACCTTCCAAAGAAAAATATTGTTCTGAAATACACAAATATATTTAGGGATAATTAGCCAGTCTCTAGTCTATAAATTTTTGTTCCACAAGATTTTCTAAATACAGACGGTTACTTTTTAAATAGTAAATCACTGTTGGTTTCATTCAGTAGTAATATACACTACAGCTTAAATTTTTGGTGCCAAAATGTTCACAACGATATGACTGACTTCATGACTTTATACAATACCTCACATAATCACCCTGAATGTGGTGTAATTACCAATGCAAAGCATACCCGTCGTCGATAGGTTTTGCCTTCCTTGTGTCCGGCCTCCAAAGGGGCCTTCAAAAACCTGATACAGCCATCTCATTACTCTATTACAGAAATTATAAAAGAGAAAGTTTGGATTAATAACAGGTAAGGAATAGACATTAGTGGATCAAGTCTTGGATACATAACCATCATTTCACTTACATACAAGTTGTATCTCTATACAAATGTGCTTGTATGTATGCCAGAGTTCTAAAACACTAAAGAGTTTGCGCTGGGTAATTCCGGTATATTTTGTAGCTATTAAGATATCAGCAGTTACAGTATGTACATCATACTCCCAAACCTTACAACCAAATTTAAAGTCAAGGTTTAGATTATACACAGGATAGAAAGCAGATGTTTTAAATGAAACTCTTTCTATTTAAATGAAAGCTTATGTCTATAAGATTCAAGGACTACTGCAATTTTACCATATATTTATAAGTCTTTTTTTCATCTTTGAACAGAATCTGTGGTAAAGTACCTGACCAACTTGTACCAAATTCATTCCATCTTTGCTCTCAGAAACTAATGCAGTATGCAGATTAACATTTTAAAATCAAAATTTCACAGAACTAAGCAAAATGTTTATAACTAGGCGTAATTTTCAGTATGAGGATACCATCAACGCAAACTCTGTGACAAAATAACTAGATTTCTTACTGATCCATGAAGAGGAATTAGTTTTCCTATCAGTCATTTGTATCTTTCTCTGTGACAGAGTACAAGAACAAAGAAATGGGAATCGGTCACATATTCTGCTTCCATCAATCCAGTAGATATATACAAAACAACACAACAATCAGATGATTTTTTTTCACACCAGAAGAAATAGAAGGGCTAACACAAGTCATTTAAATTCAAAACAAATCAAACCAAACAAACACAATGGAAGGAAAGTACAGCTGTTTTCCTGATGTACTGGATTAATGAATACAGATTTTTCATCAGGGTTTTTTTTTTCCACCCATGTTTTTTTTTTCATTCATTTCATAAAAGTGACATAATTTTAAATGCAAATTTGAAATGCAGACAAACCATTTCCTCAGACTTTGTGCTTGTATGTCCCAGTAACGTGAGTCCTTTCTCGTCAATATTTCCACTGTGTCAATGAAAGCTAACAAAAGCTTGGTAATAGCACGCACCCAATGCAATGACGATAGTCTTATACATCTGTTATAATTAACAGGCTGACAACCGCAAAAACAACCTGGTACATGTAAGTCTTATACTGAACTGCAGTTATTGATCTTGCAGAAAAACATGAGAATGGTGTTCTTCCTGCAAGAAATTCTGCTTCACAAAAAATGTTTTTCTTTATAATGATAAGTGATTTTGCAGCAGTATATCAATATTTTCCAGGAGGAAGAATTCATCACCTGTTGGGTTAGAGCATACTACTACAAAACCTTTTCATCATACATTATTATAGCCTTTGGGCTTCTTATAAGTAAATGTCTGTCTGCAGCTTGAAGGGTCAACAACACATCAAAGTGACAACCAAATCCCTTTGACAGTCAGAATTGAACAAAATGTGCAATTCTACAGTTATTCATCAATTTTTTAAACAGATTTAATTTTTTATAATAAATTGTACATTTATATTTCCTAAGATGTGCTTCTTCCTGCAAGCTTCAGACCCTGCTAATAATATTTCCAATGTAAGAAAATAATATTAATTTCTGACAGGAAAACCATTATCCCTCTTCATGTGACTATAACAACCAATCACCTGTCTAATTTGCATAGGGCACAATTTTGAGCTGAAAAAAAATCCTACTCCTATACCTTATCTCATCTTCCCTTAAAATTTGATGTTCACGACATCCTTTCAGATGACCCCATAAATAACAGTACAGATGTTGCTGTCTGCCCTGATCTTACAATCTGTGATGTCTGATTGCAGTGGGTCATAATCCAGGAATCATATAAATACCTTGGCTTCATCAAGTCTTCCCAGTGCCTTCAGAAGATTGCCAAGGTCGCTTCGAACACAATACAATTCCTGGGGGAAAAAAAGAAGATATTTAATACACGTGTGAAGTATTCAGTTCACTACAGAAATATTCCCTCTTATTGATAGATTTTGAAGTATTTAGCTTCATCTTTCATACTTTTGTAAATTGATTAATTATGCATTGAACTCAAAACAAAAAGAGAAAAAAATAATGATCTCTAATCTAGCAGGAGTCTCAATATAGGTATGGTTACACAATGTATTGGTTTGCATGAGTCAAGTTCAATTTTTTGGGATTCTTAAGTCATTATTTCATCTTTAATTTTCTATACAGTAAGGAAATTACATGGTTATACTGTAGAGCAGTCACATAAGCCTGCACAGCCTGCTCCATGTCTCCAGCTGCTACCAATGCAGCAGCCAAGTTAATGTAGCCATCAATGAAATCTGGCTTTAATCGGACAGCATGTCTGTAGTTTTCCAAAGCTTCCTGGAGTTGTCCTCTTTCCTTATACACATTTCCCAAATTAGAGTAAGCCTCTGCTAAAAGCGGATTTTGTTTGATAGCCAACTGACTGAAATATGCTGACCTGAAACAGTAATATTTATATCAAATAAGAAATAAATAAAAAGAATATTTAGATAAAGTACTTCGATGACATCCCATCTTATACTTGGATGTGTCTGCCAATATTGATAAAATAAAAATACATTTAACCACATTTCGAACTAAATGTATTGTTTTTAAAATGATTCAAGAAGGAAAGAACTTTGAACAAAAGGCTACTGGACTTCAGTTCTTTAAAGTACAAGATTTGAACCATGAAAATCATAACTCTTCAATCTTTATATCAAACCCACAAAATTAACCTCACCTTTCCAGTTTGCGACACTGGAAGTGTATAGAACTGAGTAGTAGTAATACTCCAGTGTTGTCTGGTTCCTGTCTCCATAACTGCATGCAATGTTGTTCCGAGTTTTCATAATCTCCAGCCTGGTATTCTCTGTGTGCCAACTCTGCTAAACCTGCGAGATAAATGGTAAAGTATTTGTTAAAACTCTTGCTACATCTTTGTATAAACAAAGTATGGCAATGCCATATCAATCTGATACCAACTTCACATTGCGGAGTATTGAGGGCTGTATAATTTTATTCCCAAGTGTTTTATCTGTATGTGATTAAGCTTCGCTGTAGTTTTGGATAAACGGTAACTAACTTGCTGTACCTGTGCAAGATTTCACATCCTTAATTCATCTCTTCAAAAATACCTGACCAGAGATTTATGTCACCATTATGTTTTCTGAACTTGAACAGACAATACACAGGTTGTCTAGGTTTTGAGGGAAAATAACTGCTTTGAAACAGAAACACAAAGGAGGTCTTTTAAACTTTTAGGACAAAACAGAGCAACAAAAAACATGACCCAACACCCAATGTGACACTCTATAGATCTGCATCAGAAATATTAATTTATCCTCATGCTGAAATGACAATTCATATCACTTCTTTGTTCTCCTTGACTACAGTAGTGTTTCCAATGGCAGCATTTAGTGCAAATGTCGTAGGTGAGCACGAATTTACCTGCATGTTTTTTAAGTCACACTTTAAGTAATGGAGGTGATTTTGGCTAAAAGCCAGAAAGCTAAATTAATCACTTCAATGTCAACATTGTAATTGCAGTTCTATTGAGGATTATCGCCAGAATATGTGTATTGGTAAATGGTAGTTTTTGTTGTGCTTTTCAGAAGCTGTGTAAAACATGTCAATTCCAACACAGATGACACGACGTCTTCATCAAAATAATTTAATGTGATGTAAATATAAAGATCAGTTCTCGTGCACTTATTTTTATAATGATGCAAATCATAAGAAAACTAAGTATTTGATTAGGCTGACCTAATCAAACTAAGCGGACATCCCTGTCATCGCCGGTCGAATGATCTTTCAACAAATGTCAAAATTCGGTCTTAGGTCTACAAGAGATCCGAACATTACTGGGAATGCGAACGGTCGGTTGAGTGGGGACGGGGAGGGAGGCGAAACTTTCGTCAAACAATGATTAATTCTGGTACGTGTCTCTAAACAAACGATTATTTTCTTCGCGTACGACACGCATAATGATATGGGACATAAATACTAACCTGTTATATCTGTAATTTCAGCCATTTCCTTCATAATGTTCATGAAACAATAAATATGGCGGCTTGTGCAACTTCGCAGATGCACTTAAACGTGAACTCGCGATCTTGGTTTTGTCGTGTTTGCAATTTCGGAGTAAGTATCCAAGCCCTGTAGCTCCACAGGAGCGTTCCGTCAATTGTTTGTCGTATATAAGAGTTGATTTTGGATGTCGTCGCTTAAAAAAGTAAACACCGAAGATCGACCACCGTAGGAACACGTTCACCTTCTTCTTCAGTGTAAGTCCCCGTACTGTGACGTCACATAGATACTTCAAGATTTATTATGCATATATTATTACACACCAAATAGACTGAACATTTCCAGATTAAGTCTGTCATTTTAAAATCGTAAATGCTAAGTTAAATATTAGATTTGTACATAATCAATATATACATATGAATATATAAGGTAAACGTGTTCATTCTTCAATATTAACAACGGACGCAACAGTCTACTTCTAGTTTATACCGATTGCAGGGCCAAAGTAGGAAAGAATTATGACGTCACGATTCAGATGGCGCTTGTAGTGCAGTGCAGGATTGCGACATCAGTTATGGAGAGCAGGTGCGTGAAAAAGAATACCACATTTGGATAAAAGCGTTCATTTCGCTGTACAAGTTAAGCTGATAGCCATAGATTATCTTTATCAAATTAATGGTTTATTGACTGGAATAAACATGCGCCAAGAAATATATATTGTTTTAGATCAGAGATCTAAAATTTATTGCGAAAGACTGCATTGGAGATTTGATTGCACCGTAAAAATACCTCGATCAAGAATAAAAAGCATGAAATAATTTAACCATAGAAAAATGAATTTTAGTTGATATTGTCTCCTATTACTGTAAAAGATTGAAAGAAGTGTTAATTGCTTATAGAGTTACATTGGTGTCGTTTTTGTCGTCGGAGACCAGACGAAGAGATCTTATACATATATCTTATACATATAAGACATGAATAAAAAGACGTTTAAATAAAAACGTTTTAGTTTTAAGTCTATCTTAAGAAGCATTAAATCAATGGTCAAATAAGTGTTTATGAAATAGTGATTTCTTTTACATTTGAATAAATCCAAGACCCGATTGATAAAAAATTGTATCTTATATCTTCTCCGTTAATATGAAGATTTTTGCATCCATTCATACCTTTGGAGACGTGTAGTATATATGTCTCTTATACCTGACTAAATCACTCGGAAACTAAAACGAAAAATGATACCCAAAATGAAGTATTTAGTTGCTTTGCTAATTTGAAACAACTGATGTCTTCAGCATTTACTAACACATATAACCTTCGGGTCTCTGTAGGATAGAAAATATTACTTAGTTTATAAAAATTACTGACGTGATTTAAAACTTTTTTCTTCATTTTACAAAATCTTCCATACTTTTAAAAAATCCTTATCATCTGTCCCTATAGATATATATTATTTAGTTTCATGTCTCGATTGAATTATGATGGGTGTTTGCTTTATCGTAAAGTACATTGCCATTATTTTTGTTTGTTTGTTTTTTTTCGATAAAAAGGGTGTCAAATTTCCTTTTGACAGATGTGGGTTTTTTTTCGTACAACCGTGTTAATTCAGATGCCTACGACTCTGATAATCGGCACCAAATAATAGGAACCCTTTTAAAGTTGCCTCCCTTCAACCGTTTCCAAAACGCCTTAATCTGAAACGCCGATTAAATTTTTATTTATAACTCTGATTACTTGTGAAATCGGTATATAGTTCAGTTTTACTCAACATATCTCCGACTTAATTACAATAATTACCGAGTTATTGATGATTTCAGAAATATTCAAAAGAACACAAAACCATGAGTGACGGACGTATAATAGAACTACGCCTTGAGTAAACTAATTTGGAATTTGTTTATATTGTTGAATGGTAGGCCCATGCAATTTAGACTACCGTTTAAAAAACTCTGTTCGAAGTTCCCTGAACTGCTCTCCTTGTCACATCAAAAAGGTTTCGATTTTACTTCCGCCTTTTACAAGCATCTTTCCCATCCAGATTAATTTGCATATTACTTCCATATTTGGAACCCAACAGACACACCCACGCTGAAACGACAAACAGAAATCCCGGGAAAGATCGTGAGACTTAGAACTAGCGGCGAAACTCGAGGAAGTATCCCCAAACTTTTCTCTGTCATTTCCAACACCAGGTAAGGTCAAGTTTTCTTTAAGCCATTTTGCTGTTTCTGTACATGTTTAAAGACACAATTAAATTGGTAGTTTGTTTTCAATGGAAATTAACAACGGCAGAACTGTGCAGCAGGTGGCTGGCTCATTTCTCGAAAGTGTTGTCACTTTACGCTCGGGTGACTGCGTATATTTTGATGCTACGTAGAATGTTGTAGACTGGACATTACACGCATCGGTTTGCACAAAGTCTTTATTCTTTTTATGTGTCAGTTTTTTTGTGAGAATTGGTTTGTATGTAAAACGTGGAAGAAAACATGACATTCGGCATATGATATCTTTCCCATTTCCACTTTCAAAAAGATTGAAATGGTGAATGGGAGGGGGTGTTAAGTAATTTTAATGGCGACCATTTAGGTTTTTTTTGTCCATTGTTGTCAAGGAATCATAGAAATATAAATTTGTTTGACTTGAATCTTATATTCGATTTCACAAAATACATAACATCTACAAACATCTACAATTTTCCCCATCCAGACTGGTTCATTTGTTTGCAAGTTTTATTAAATGTTTTGATTATTTATATAAAAAAAAACTACATATTAACAGTAATAGTGAAACAGCATTTTGTTATATATTTCTGCCACAAATTCATTGATATATACTTTGATTTGTGACAGATTTGATGGCAATTTAATTTTTGTTTCATGGTTAATTCTTTGTGGTTTGAAATTTGTTTGTTCTGTGATTATTATAATTGGTTCCCAAAGAAAACTATTAATTTACAAAAATTCTTTTGCATTTCAAAATATCCACTTGAAAAATTCAGTCACTATTTAAGGAAAATATCAAATTGCAAGTGGAAAGTTCATGACTTGACATAATCAGCCTGAGGAAATTTAATGTATGAAATAGGATTTACTAAGTGGATAATATACTGTATCATGCAGTAGTAGGTGCATATTTCAAGTATGTGCAAAAAACAGCACAGTCCCTGTGAACTAGTATATATCTACAACAAACAGCCGACAGTAGCGCCTGCTGTTTTTGTTGAGCTATGTGAGGAATTTGAAGTGGCAGACAGGCCCAGTAAGTTATGTACTGATATGATAGAGTAGGTCAAGAGACTAAACTGGATATTCAGTCAAAAGTACTGTAGCTATAAAACTTTTTTTAAAAAAAGGACAGAGTTGGTTGGATTCTGAAAGTGGTGTTTGAAACTGCTGTAAATTGTCGGGTTTTGCCGTAGCTTGTTGGACATATAGTTTAAGATTCATTTGGTTTCTTGATTATAGATTTTTTTTTTTAATTCCAAGTTCATCTATTCATCAAAATCATTTTCGTTAATAAAACACTTCAAAATACCTTTAGAGAAAGATCGAAACCTTCAAGCAAATTGAAAGTAGTGTTTAGACACTGAAGGTATGGAAACAGAAATGTAACCATCAGTATTAAATAAGAAGCTCTTATCCCTAATTCAGGCGTCATGGTAACTTTAGATGTTGAATAATTTTTGACTATAAGAAGTGTATGACCCAAAATCAAAATCACCTAAATCATACATATAGTTAAGGGATGCAGGACTTAAGCTTTGACCAAGTATGTAATATAGATTTTGTTCAAACTTTTTCAGTTTTTGGTGATGGTTAATATTTTGTTGATATTGTACACAAGAATTATTGACACACTTAAGATGATAGACATGAATATATAGGCAGATGTCAAAAGAGTGCTAACGTCTTTAGTTATATGTAAATAAATCATTAGGTAAGTTTTTCTCTGCTGAAGTTGATTCTTTAATAGTATTGCACTGAATGTAAACAATTTTTCACTTTCAGGAAGAGATGAGGATAAAATGTGTTTGATATTTTTGATGTAGAGAGAACTTTTTATACACGGAAAGATAAGAAATTTCTTAAAAAGTTTCATATTTCTAGATGATTGGTTTAAATTTAGATGAGATATATATATACTCACTTTCTATCCATTGTTGGTGAACGGATGTCTGCATTAGTGCTGAACAGACAAGAAAACTGCAGCTACTAACTGAAATAAGCTACCATTGTCTGAGCTATATATAGCATCCTACCAGACTAGACAGAGAATAAACAGACCAGGTCTTCCTAGTGTCCCTGAACTAGACTGGTATACCGTAAACAAGTCTGTAGTAATATACCTTAAACATTTGATTAATAGGTTACAAGGACTAATGATCAGATACATTTACAGCTTGTGTCAGACACATACAGGATTCACAATTTTCACAGTTCATTTTCTTTTGCCAAGTTCTAAATTTAGGAGCCAAATATGATTGAGTCACAAAAGAACTGAAGTTCAAACTTTGATGTTAATTTTGCCCACAAAATGTGTCTTGAATCTTGATTTGAAAATGTTGTAAACTAACTTTCAATGCATGCTATGAATTAGATAAATACATTAAATATTCCTGACCAAATCGTTAATTGAAATAAAGTGAAAAAATGATTCAAGTTCTTAAAAGGAGGAAGTTAAAAGTGTGTTTGTACTTCATGTATACGATCATAATATCCCCTGTGTCAAGTATAACATGGATACAGTATGTTATTTAGTAAGCACCTTCCCTCTGCCCCATCCAGATCCCGATTTCTTAATTTCTCTATTGTGTTTTAATGCCAACATGCTGCAGACAGGAAGTACTGCACATGTTGATGTTTAGCGGGGATTCCCTCCTCCCTGATATATCGGAAAGTACTTTCATTTTCTAAATATAAATAAAATATAAGTATATTAGATCACTACCAATAATTTCCCTGTCTTGTTTCTGTTATGAACAAAGAGGGAACTTATGTAAGGCTGGAATAACTCTGTTTTTCCGTCAATATTTATTAATTTTTTCGAGATTCTTTAAGTTATCATAATTTTAATTTTACTAGTTTTACGATATAAATTAACATGTTGAAAGTCTTTAAGACTACTGATCATGTCTTGATATGAAACTTAGTGAAAAAGAAAATATTTTGTAAATTTGAAATAGAAATTGTAAATTTCATCAGCCATATCAGTTAGATGCTGGGTATAAGGAAATATAACTGAAGTTGCAGGTTAAGTGGT